TTTTAACCACCAAACTGCTCTGAAATACCCTGTTTGCTCAAAAGGAAAAGTTCCATAGAACAATGTATTCCTTTGTTACACTGATCTAATTTCTGCATGATATATTCATTGGCAAGGATGGAGAACGATCTAGATCTTTCTTAAGCCCTCCCTCGCACACACAGACACAGTATATATATAAATATATATAGTGCCCACCTGTGCAACCTGATTGCGGCACTCCTATATTATCTATTTTCATAGGAGTATAAAGGAGCATTTGCTTGGTGAAGTACACGTCATTTTCCATTTCTACTTATCTTGTAAGCTAAACTTCATTTTCTATTTCTATATTTTCATTAGACGTTTTAAACACAATTGGTTTCAAGCCTTTTTACACCCTGCCTCTCCAATCTGCAGTTTTGATGAAATCCTAATAGAGGAATTTGTACTGAAGTTTCTTGTATCTTTCTTAAGTTTGGCATTTGTATATCTATGGACTCGATCATTTTAGTGCACTTCCTTACTTATCTTCATCATTATTGACCAACCTTATGAAGTCTTAGAACAGAAATACTTCTAAATTTTAGCTTCAGTTTGTCTGTCATAAGGTGCAGGCAGGCTGCTCTCCTCGGTCATAAGACTCGTAACACATCCAAAGAAACCAACTTACATTGGAGGTTGTATAGAATGGAAGATAAATGTTGATGGAAAGTCCCCATTCCTTTTTACATTAGATTAAAATTTGAAAGTTTCTTGTTTATCTTGGATTTAAGTTCATATTGTTATCCTAGCTTTATAATTCTGAAACTGTGGGTTGTATATAACGCAAGTAAACTTGCAATATTGGTGGCAACGAGGAAGAGTTTGCAAAATTGGCTTGTCTACTACATATTCATTTTTTGTTGATCTTGAATTCACTTCATGCTTTTGTTGATTTTCTTGACTAGTATAATTGGAAGCATTGGTTTTTTGCTAGATGATTATGGGGTTTGGTTTGAATTGAATTAGGTTGGTTTTGTTTGAGAGATCTCATTGTTTAATTGGGCTTTGGTTTAAATTGATTTGTTCCTTTTGGTATGATATTGAATTTGGTGTTATTGAATTGCATTAGATTTTATTGAATTGAGTTTTCTTGCATTAGGTTTGCTGGACTTAGAGATTGTCTACAAGTTATATAAAGTCAAGATGGTTGATGGTTGATGGTTGATCTGTAGGAGTTGAACATTGTTTGTCTCATCTTATAGGCATTACACATGGATCCATTCTAACATAATACGTATTTCACCAATCTCATGCATGAAGGAACAAATATAACCGTTGAAAAACTCAAATTTTAAAATTTTGAATTTCGTAGCCGTTTTTAAATATGACCATTATTAATAAAAATAAATTTTTTAAAATTTTAATGATGTGGCGTAACACGTAAGCACGTGATGTCATCAATATGGTGATGACGTGACATACTACATAATATTTTAAATTTTATTATTAAAAGTTAGTTAAAGTTAGTTGAAGTGATGAACTAAAATAAATAACGTTATTAGAGTGAATTTGAAAAAGTAATTAATTAAGTAAATAATATAATATTTAAATATATTTTGAGTAGCTATTTTTAATTGATACTCTTAATACCATACCCCAACTGAACAGTCCCAAATGACTTCAAATCAGAGAGTAATCCTTTTTCCCTGTACACATGTTTTCCGACCCGAGACACCAAGTCCATCAAAGCCTCCTTCTTCACATGGGGTTTCAGCAAAAGCATACACTCATAAAGAGGCATCTTCTTCTTCCTCTAACCTTGGTTCTGGGTTCAATTCATTGGTTGGAATACACTAAAACTCTGTACTTTCTTGGGTTTTGGTAGATGGTTGCTTACATCTCGTCCGAAGGGTGGACTTAAAAGGGTCCCAGAGTATCGACTCAAATTTTTAATCAAATTTAAATTAATATTCAAGTAAAAAATTTAATTTGATATAAAAGATTTCAATAGACAAACTCAAATTTAAAAAAAAAAGATTCAAATTTAAATGAGGATGAGATTCAAATTTTTAATCTCACCATTAAAAATTTGAGGAAAAATTTGAGTCTCTTTGATTTGAATAAAAAAATAATTTTTTCTTAATTTGGTATAAGTTGAATCAAGGGTTGGAACAAATTTTTTTAAAATTTTTTTATTTAAATTTAAATTTGAGTCTAAATTTCAACGAGAGTCAAGAGATGTCCTAATAAATCATTGGGCTTGTTTGGGATGGTTCAAATTTCGGGCAAATTACCATCCGTAACCCGGTCTCACTAGGCCCGAATACTGTTTAAAGATAATCATGTTCAAATTAGGCAATGAGCAAATCCTTTAATCATGGAGGAGTCAGTTACGACTTTATAGAGACATGTACTTTTGGCAATGTTAACAGAATTGGAATGCACATCGAACTGGTATGTCAAATCCATAGATAATATGAAGCCACCACATCTAAAATAATTGTTAGTTTATGAACGTGACCAGAGTACACATCTTTTCATGTTGTTAGACAATTTTTTCATCTCCAATGCATGCAGTCATTGCTACCTAGCATCCCAGAAAATCTACGTTTCTCACCGATTGCTAATAATCTAGCAATGTCTGCGTTGTTTGGTGACCTAAGATACTGATCAAAATAAATTGCTACTATGGTCGATACAAATCTTTGCAGACTTTTTATTTGGTGCTTTTGTTGATCCTCATATAATCATCAACAACATCTGCTACAACTCCATAGGCAAACATTCTTATAATGACAGCCATTTTTTGAAGGGGAGACAAGCCAATATTCCCAATAGCATTCCTTTTTTTGGATAGAATACGAACGAAAAGAGATTGATTCATTCGAAACCCCTTTCAAAATAAATTTGGGGGATAGGTAGGCGATTCAACAAAATAATCGCGATAAAATCTCTCATACCCTTCAACTCGATTGTGAAAAATAAGAAAATGACCTTAAATAGAACCACGACGTATTACAAAGCTGTTCTCAGTATTGAGTTTTTCCATTGTCATAGTAGCAACTACCAACATCTCTAACCCATCATCGAAGTCAGAATCATCTTCAATTTACCATCATGAGCCATAGCAAAGAAATATGAGTGCAATACCAGTAAAATAAATTTGAGATATATGACAATGAGAAGGGAGAGGTACTATTTATACATTTTCAAAAATATTACTGTTGTAAATATGACTGTTGAAAATATGACAATTGTAAATATGACTGTTGAAAATTTAAAAATTTGAAGACATGGCACGACACATCATCTTGCACCGTCATCATTATGGCACTTACGTGTTATGCCACGTGACATTTTTGAATTATATTATTGAAAGTTAATTAAAATTAGTTGAAATAGTTAACTAAAATAGAGAGCGTGATTGAAATGAATTTAAAAAAGTAGCTAGTTAAAATAGAAAATTTAATATTTAAATATATTTTGAGTAGCTATTTTGCTGAGTATGGTTGGAGATGCTCTTACTCTATTTTCAATTGTGAGTGTGTGTCTGCGTGGAGAGAGAGATAGATATGAGAAGAAAATGTCTTACGTTCGAGACTTCGAGATGATCTAGATTTGTGGTGTCTGTGCCGCTGTTCGAGAGCTCGATCTGGAAAAGACAAAGAAGACAGAGTGGAGGAAGTTTGGTGTTCGAGATTTAGATATGTGGTGTGGAGTTGTGTGCCGCTGGTCGAGTGCTTGATTTGGGGAAAATGAAGGCTGTTCGAGTGCTCGATTTAGAGAAGACGAAGGTTGGTTTTGAACCGCCAATTTTTTAATCTTCGATTCACCGGTTTTTGGTCTAAATCGGCCGATTTTCTTGTTTTCCAATGGTTCAATTACCCAAACGGTCTTTTTAGTAAACCGGACCGTTAAAAGTTCCGATTCACCGGTCCGACCAACCGGCCTGAGCTAATTCTGATAACACTGATTCTTAGAAATTAGGTGGCTTAGACTTGCGACCCCTTTTGTGAACATTCGTCCCATTAACTGACAGGAACCTTGCATTCTTCTCCGATTGGGCTCTCGCGTGGCTGATATCCGATTAGATCAACTAGCGACCAATTTATGGAACAAGGAGTAAAACAAAGGCCAGGTTTTTTTATCTTGGCCGAAGTCAGTGTTGTATTCTTGTCCTTGATTAACAGGCTAAATCAAAAAAAAATTATTTTTAACACAGGCCATTTATTACATAGGTGATATAAGTTATCATGTTATCCATTTATTAAATTGGCCCTAGTTCCACATATCAACTGGATTGCATCAGTCACACAAAATAATTTACATATAATTAAAAAACATGGGTTCGATGAATTCATGTTAAGAGTTATATTACTCATATTTATGTTTGCATCAAGTAGGTTGAATTCCAAAATCCACAGCAGACTTATTAAATATGTGACATTAGCACGACACGATTAACAAATCATTTAATCTCTAACACAAACTTATTATATTTGCCTCATATTAAAGGATCGTCTCATAAATTATTACCCTTACAGTAAATTTAACTCAATGTTTGACTTGTAGCAATACGGTCTAGTTTTATGAAGTTGAATGTTCTTAAAATGAAAGTATAATTGATAACTTGCATTTGCCTGAAAGCAACGGGGACATATAAAAATACAAATTGTGAAAATATTATAAAGTTAAAACAACAAGAAGAAGAAGAAGAAGAAGAAAAAAAACACACAAGAAGAACAACAGTAATAACATCAATTACATTATGCCCCATTCAACAGCTAGTGCTACTTTCTGATGAACTGTCAATAGTTTTTGGTGATGAAGTACCTATCTTTCTTCTGGAGTTTGCTACTTCAGTGGTAGACATCGTTTGGCCATTGACCTGAAAAATATTCCCATATCCCATAAATAACATTGATATGAGGCCTATAGGTGAAGTCTACTACTTGAAATTTTATAGGAGTGGTCTTCCATCACTACAGCCCTCCATATCAGTTGATACAGAAGTCTCATGCACTAGACCGTCTTTTTTAGTGAATGTGCTCGGTGATTGCAACAGAAGCTGAGTTGTTGTTAGTATTACTCTCATTATCTTCTGGATAACTAGGCACAATCTTCTTCCAGAACCAGTGCTTCCTCCACAGGAACACCATCTCTTCAATGGGGACACCCTTGGTTTCAGGTAGGAAAAGGTAAACAAAGATTGTCATGATGGTTATCCAGCCGCAAAGAAGAGGAAAATCCCAAACTTGAAAGCACAAAGGAGGGAGAGGAACAATTGGCCAATTAGGAAGGTGAAGAAAAGGTTTACAGCAACTGTAATGCTTTGTCCTGCTGATCGGGTTTCTAATGGGAATATCTCACTGGGAACTGTCCAGCCAAGTGGCCCCCATGACCATCCGAACGCTGCAACAAAGAGGCAGATCACAACCACCACCAATACTGAGAAGCCTTTTGAGAGCTCCTTGTCACCGCTAAATTTGACCCCCAAAATAATTGCAACTATGACCTGTTCCACAAGTGAAATGTCAATCTTTCAGGTATTAAGGTGACAGGTAAATCCTTCTTGAAAACTGTTATGGACACGCTTTAGAAGTACAAGAAAATTGCCAATTTTTTCTTGTGATATAGATAACTTCAATATAAATGCTGCTTCCCAGTTCCCACGAGTCCAAAGGGCATGTTGTTGGGACGGTTCTTAGTCTTTGAAAAAAGTGTGCTACTCACTGTGGTGAAGTTGCATGGAGTGAGAAGAATGGGGCATATGGCAGTGTAAGCAGAAGGTTTCTAAGTTGTTTCTGGGATTCAATTTTCTTGACAGAACTAAATGCAGTGTCAAATAAGTATTTCCTGGTTTCTTGATATGATACATAACATTGTTGATATTTTTTTTGAGTTGCAGCCAAATTTGTTTTAGATTGTAAATGTGATGCAATATTTTGGAAACAGTTACTGTGGAGGTTTTTGTTTATCTTACCTGACATATAATCATTTGTATTCCTCCACCAATTAATAAAGCTCTTCGTCCCCATCTATCAACGGTAGCAATAGACACTACAGTTGATGAAGCCAGAACTGCTCCAGTCAATGCTGAAGAGTAGAGAGAAGCATTTCTCCCAAATCCCATAGTTGAAAACAAGACAGGGGCATAGAACAGAATTGAGTTTATGCCTGTGAGAATCTGAAATGTTGGCATGAAGATTGCCATGACCAATTGTGGCCTATTATGCCTTTCAAGGATGTTTCTAAACGGATGCTGAATCGAGTTGGCAAGCTCACTTGCATCAACTATGTCTTGTAACTCTGCGTGCACGTTCTCAGTCCCCCTGATTTTCTCCAGAATTTTTCTTCCTTTCTCTTTTGATCCACGTTCAATTAAGCTGTTAGGTGTTTCTGGAAGTAGTAGTCCCCCGACTGCCATTAAGAATGCGGGCGCTGCAGCCAGGCCTAGGGAGAGCCTCCATCCCCATGGTTCGAGCTTCTGCGTTCCATAATTAATCATGTTTGCCGTGAAGATTCCGAGTGTTGTTGCTAATTGAAACATCATGTTCAGTCCTCCTCGAAGATGGGTTGGTGCCATCTCTGACAAATATAGTGGAACTGCCTTCAAACACCAGCGAGAGAAAGAAAACAGGTGAATTGTAATAGATAAATTATAGAAATTTTAGGCCATAAACAGGTGATGAATAATTGAATTTATGAACAAAAGCAAATCAGTTTCTGCTTTGCTCCTTGTTTGAACTGCATACATGTTTTGTGATGCAAAATAACAGCGTTTTTTTAATCCACTTGAGCTTTTGTTTGAATTTGAACTGAGTGTATGAGAATCATGCCAAACCTGAGCATATAATTTAAACTTTGAGCCAATCTTAAACAATACTCCAAGCTTGATCACGTGACAATCAACTTGAGCCAAGCCTGAACATACCAAAACCTCGAAGATTTCTGCCCTATTAACACCCTATTGTTTGTACAAAAAAAACTTAGCAGTGACAGTTTCTAGTGAAATAAATGCTTACTTGATTTCCAAATCCGATGCCAAAGCCAAGCATGATTCGACCCAATATAAGCATCGTCAGATTTACTGCAGAAGAATCTAAAGTTGCTCCCACAATGAAGCTAAGCCCGCCACATATTATACTCGCCCGACGCCCATATTTCCGTGTAATGGGAGATGCCACAATAGATGAAACCAAACCAGCTAAATAGAGAGAAGATGTAAATGCTGCTAGGCCTTGGTTGTTGTATTTGCAGTAGTTGTTTTCATGCGCACGATTTTTGTTTCTGTAAACTGTGGGGAAGAATTTTTCAAGAAATCCATCCATTGATGTCACCCCTCCTGTCAGTAATAATTGCTGAAGTTAGTTTCCGAGCAGTTTCATTAATCTTCTTGTTGGAAATGAGTACTTTTCTGATTCATGATTGGAATTTACAACTCTCTCTCTCTCTCACACACACACACACACACACACACACACACACCCCACAGTTCAATTCGGCCGAGTTATAAGTCAGAAGCTTCCAATCTCATACGTCTCACATGATTCGGCCAAGTCGTTCCACACATCTCTGAGTCATCCAAATCATAGGTAGGTAGACATGCGTGAATCTCTCGCCATGTTCAACTTCATAGAATGGAGTATTTCATGCCTATCCCCCAATCCTATTCTGACCGTGACACAAGATTGCAGATTTGACTAGGAAAAAAGTATCAGACAAAGGTATGCAGGTTATGCTAGGAACAATCTGCATAAGATGCGTGTTTATGCCCTAGTTTCGCTAACCAGACATTTAGTATATTCTTGTGATAATCGATTGATTCTGTCTTTTCACCACAATCAGAACAAAACAAAAGCAAAGAAAAGAAAAAGTTGGAAAATTTATATTTCTATTCTGTAGGCGGGTGAAGAGAGAACCTGATATTCCAATGTCATAACCAAACAGTGAGCCACCTACGGCTGCAACAACGCAGGCGACGATGACATAACAGGTGACTGTCCGTTGATACTGCCCTGCTCTCTCCTTAGCCACGCCGGCCGGAGCAAAAGATCCACCAGCCATCTCCGATGCCCTTTGGAAAAAATAGAGTCACAGAAGCGAGCTCTATATTGGAGAATGAGAACTAATCTTCTTAGACTTCGGTTATAAAATGGACATAGTTGACTTAGGGCTACTAGCCTGTGAACACTCAAATTCTGTATCGAAAACAAAAAATGGAATTCTGTAATGATTGTCTGGGGAAATTCTTACCAAGATTTATTCTAATGGAACCAACATATTTTTTTCTGACCCAAAAAAAAAAAACAATATACTCTCTCTCTCTCTCTCTCTCTCTCTCCTGATGGAGTGTGGCTTAGTTTGCTCATCATCTTTAACTAAGTTTTCAGCATGGATTTGTGGAAATGCACATGCCACAAGTTGGGGAGTGTAGACAATTTAATATTATCAGCTTGTTTTTTAATGCTTCTTTAAATGATAAATCGGAAGTTGACTTAAGCAACCTCCGACTAACCCCCCCCCCCAAAAAAAAAAAAAAAAAGAAACCATAAAATACTGAATGTCAGTGTAAAGAAATGCCAGAGTCTAACCTCTTACCCTTTTTGTAGAATTTCGTGAATTAGCATATCTAAAGTGGGGATAACAATGTCTTCGTTTCTCTCACGCAAACTCACTATAGGCGGGGGAGTTTTATGCAATGGGTATGACTTTTATTTTGGAGAACTGTCAAAACACATGGTGTACTTCTTTGTTTATCTGTTACATTGGCATTTCAGAATTTATGGGTAATTTCCATTCAGTATTTGGTGGGATCATACTTCTGCCTCTTTAAGTACAAGAACAAGTAGAGTTTCATTATCATATTCTATAGGATATCTGGTGATCCAACTGACTTCATGTTGGCTAGAGCTGTGGGATACTTCCTGTATCTTGTACAAAGCTGGTACATTGAAAATTTTGCACCCTTATTGGTTAGATAACACTATTGCCCGAGCTCTCACACTATCATAAGCCTGAAAATTGTCCTTTTCCCGGATTTCAACTATGATATATACAGGCCCAAGGATCAAATCAATGGTTGAAAAACAAAATTTTCATGTTTCGAAATGTTTCTTCCGATTTTTTCATATTTTGACAAACGTGGCCTACTTTGGATATATACCATCAGCAAGATAATATTACATAGTATAATCGTTTTTATGGATAGAGTAATTGATTGGAGGAGCCCTATCTTCCGAAAGAAGAGTAAAAACAGAAGAGTGTTCTAGCACATTTATATCATTGTGGGATCCAGGTAACGCAAAAAAGGCATGTCAAATCCATAGATCATATGAAGCCACCACATCTAAAATAATTGTTAGTTTATGAACGTGACCAGAGTACACATCTTTTCATGTTGTTAGACAATTTTTTCATCTCTAATGCATGCAGTCATTGTTACCTAGCATCCCAAAAAATCTACGTTTCTCACCGATTGCTAATAATCTAGCAATGTCTGCGTTGTTTGGTGACCTAAGATACTGATCAAAATAAATTGTTACTATGGTCGATACAAATCTTTGCAGACTTTTTATTTGGTGCTTTTGTTGATCCTCATATAATCATCAACAACATCTGCTACAACTCCATAGGCAAACATTCTTATAATGACAGCCATTTTTTGAAGGGGAGACAAGTCAATATTCCCAATAGCATTCCTTTTTTTGGATAGAATACGAACGAAAAGAGATTGATTCATTCGAAACCCCTTTCAAAATAAATTTGGGGGATAGGTAGGCGATTTAACAAAATAATCGCGATAAAATCTCTCATACCCTTCAACTCGATTGTGAAAAATAAGAAAATGACCTTAAATAGAACCACGACGTATTACAAAGCTGTTCTCAGTATTGAGTTTTTCCATTGTCATAGTAGCAACTACCAACATCTCTAACCCATCATCGAAGTCAGAATCATCTTCAATTTACCATCATGAGCCATAGCAAAGAAATATGAGTGCAATACCAGTAAAATAAATTTGAGATATATGACAATGAGAAGGGAGAGGTACTATTTATACATTTTCAAAAATATTACTGTTGTAAATATGACTGTTGAAAATATGATAATTGTAAATATGGCTGTTGAAAATATGACCGTTGAAATTTAAAAATTTGAAGACATGGCACGACACATCATCTTGCACCGTCATCATTATGGCACTTACGTGTTATGCCACGTGACATTTTTGAATTATATTATTGAAAGTTAATTAAAGTTAGTTGAAATAGTTAACTAAAATAGAGAGCGTGATTGAAATGAATTTAAAAAAGTAGCTAGTTAAAATAGAAAATTTAATATTTAAATATATTTTGAGTAGCTATTTTGCTGAGTATGGTTGGAGATGCTCTTACTCTATTATCAATTGTGAGTGTGTGTCTGCGTGGAGAGAGATAGATATGAGAAGAAAATGTCTTACGTTCGAGACTTCGAGATGATCTAGATTTGTGGTGTCTGTGCCGTTGTTCGAGAGCTCGATCTGGAAAAGACAAAGAAGACAGAGTGGAGGAAGTTTGGTGTTCGAGATTTAGATATGTTGTGTGGAGTTGTGTGCCGCTGGTCGAGTGCTTGATTTGGGGAAAATGAAGGCTGTTCGAGTGCTTGATTTAGAGAAGACGAAGGTTGGTTTTGAACCGCCAATTTTTTAATCTTCGATTCACCGGTTTTTGGTCTAAATCGGCCGATTTTCTTGTTTTCCAATGGTTCAATTACCCAAACGGTCTTTTTAGTAAACCGGACCGTTAAAGGTCCCGATTCACCGGTCCGACCAACCGGCCTGGGCTAATTCTGATAACACTGGTTCTTAGAAATTAGGTGGCTTAGACTTGCGACCCCTTTTGTGAACATTCGTCCCATTAACTGACAGGAACCTTGCATTCTTCTCCGATTGGGCTCTCGCGTGGCTGAGATCCGATTAGATCAACTAGCGACCAATTTATGGAACAAGGAGTAAAACAAAGGCCAGGTTTTTTTATCTTGGCCGAAGTCAGTGTTGTATTCTTGTCCTTGATTAACAGGCTATATCAAAAAAAAATTATTTTTAACACAGGCCATTTATTACATAGGTGATATAAGTTATCATGTTATCCATTTATTAAATTGGCCCTAGTTCCACATATCAACTGGATTGCATCAGTCACACAAAATAATTTACATATAATTAAAAAACATGGGTTCGATGAATTCATGTTAAGAGTTATATTACTCATATTTATGTTTGCATCAAGTAGGTTGAATTCCAAAATCCACAGCAGACTTATTAAATATGTGACATTAGCACGACACGATTAACAAATCATTTAATCTCTAACACAAACTTATTATATTTGCCTCATATTAAAGGATCGTCTCATAAATTATTACCCTTACAGTAAATTTAACTCAATGTTTGACTTGTAGCAATACGGTCTAGTTTTATGAAGTTGAATGTTCTTAAAATGAAAGTATAATTGATAACTTGCATTTGCCTGAAAGCAACGGGGACATATAAAAATACAAATTGTGAAAATATTATAAAGTTAAAACAACAAGAAGAAGAAGAAGAAGAAAAAAAACACACAAGAAGAACAACAGTAATAACATCAATTACAATATGCCCCATTCAACAGCTAGTGCTACTTTCTGATGAACTGTCAATAGTTTTTGTTGATGAAGTACCTATCTTTCTTCTGGAATTTGCTACTTCAGTGGTAGACATCGTTTGGCCATTGACCTGAAAAATATTCCCATATACCATAAATAACATTGATATGAGGCCTATAGGTGAAGTCTACTACTTGAAATTTTATAGGAGTGGTCTTCCATCACTACAGCCCTCCATATCAGTTGATACAGAAGTCTCATGCACTAGACCCTCTTTTTTAGTGAATGTGCTCGGTGATTGCAACAGAAGCTGAGTTGTTGTTAGTATTACTCTCATTATCTTCTGGATAACTAGGCACAATCTTCTTCCAGAACCAGTGCTTCCTCCACAGGAACACCATCTCTTCAATGGGGACACCCTTGGTTTCAGGTAGGAAAAGGTAAACAAAGATTGTCATGATGGTTATCCAGCCTGCAAAGAAGAGGAAAATCCCAAACTTGAAAGCACAAAGGAGGGAGAGGAACAATTGGCCAATTAGGAAGGTGAAGAAAAGGTTTACAGCAACTGTAATGCTTTGTCCTGCTGATCGGGTTTCTAATGGGAATATCTCACTGGGAACTGTCCAGCCAAGTGGCCCCCATGACCATCCGAACGCTGCAACAAAGAGGCAGATCACAACCACCACCAATACTGAGAAGCCTTTTGAGAGCTCCTTGTCACCGCTAAATTTGACCCCCAAAATAATTGCAACTATGACCTGTTCCACAAGTGAAATGTCAATCTTTCAGGTATTAAGGTGACAGGTAAATCCTTCTTGAAAACTGTTATGGACACGCTTTAGAAGTACAAGAAAATTGCCAATTTTTTCTTGTGATATAGATAACTTCAATATAAATGCTGCTTCCCAGTTCCCACGAGTCCAAAGGGCATGTTGTTGGGACGGTTCTTAGTCTTTGAAAAAAGTGTGCTACTCACTGTGGTGAAGTTGCATGGAGTGAGAAGAATGGGGCATATGGCAGTGTAAGCAGAAGGTTTCTAAGTTGTTTCTGGGATTCAATTTTCTTGACAGAACTAAATGCAGTGTCAAATAAGTATTTCCTGGTTTCTTGATATGATACATAACATTGTTGATATTTTTTTTGAGTTGCAGCCAAATTTGTTTTAGATTGTAAATATGATGCAATATTTTGGAAACAGTTACTGTGGAGGTTTTTGTTTATCTTACCTGACATATAATCATTTGTATTCCTCCACCAATTAATAAAGCTCTTCGTCCCCATCTATCAACGGTAGCAATAGACACTACAGTTGATGAAGCCAGAACTGCTCCAGTCAATGCTGAAGAGTAGAGAGAAGCATTTGTCCCAAATCCCATAGTTGAAAACAAGGCAGGGGCATAGAACATAATTGAGCTTATGCCTGTGAGAATCTGAAATGTTGGCATGAAGATTGCCATGACCAATTGTGGCCTATTATGCCTTTCAAGGATGTTTCTAAACGGATGCTGAATCGAGTTGGCAAGCTCACTTGCATCAACTATGTCTTGTAACTCTGCGTGCACGTTCTCAGTCCTCCTGATTTTCTCCAGAATTTTTCTTCCTTTCTCTTTTGATCCACGTTCAATTAAGCTGTTAGGTGTTTCTGGAAGTAGTAGTCCCCCGACTGCCATTAAGAATGCGGGCGCTGCAGCCAGGCCTAGGGAGAGCCTCCATCCCCATGGTTCGAGCTTCTGCGTTCCATAATTAATCATGTTTGCTGTGAAGATTCCGAGTGTTGTTGCAAATTGAAACATCATGTTCAGTCCTCCTCGAAGATGGGTTGGTGCCATCTCTGACAAATATAGTGGAACTGCCTTCAAACACCAGCGAGAGAAAGAAAACAGGTGAATTGTAATAGATAAATTATAGAAATTTTAGGCCATAAACAGGTGATGAATAATTGAATTTATGAACAAAAGCAAATCAGTTTCTGCTTTGCTCCTTGTTTGAACTGCATACATGTTTTGTGATGCAAAATAACAGTGTTTTTTTAATCCACTTGAGCTTTTGTTTGAATTTGAACTGAGTGTATGAGAATCAAGCCAAACCTGAGCATATAATTTAAACTTTGAGCCAATCTTAAACAATACTCCAAGCTTGATCACGTGACAATCAACTTGAGCCAAGCCTGAACATACCAAAACCTCGAAGATTTCTGCCCTATTAACACCCTATTGTTTGTACAAAAAAAACTTAGCAGTGACAGTTTCTAGTGAAATAAATGCTTACTTGATTTCCAAATCCGATGCCAAAGCCAAGCATGATTCGACCCAATATAAGCATCGTCAGATTTACTGCAGAAGAATCTAAAGTTGCTCCCACAATGAAGCTAAGCCCGCCACATATTATACTCGCCCGACGCCCATATTTCCGTGTAATGGGAGATGCCACAATAGATGAAACCAAACCAGCTAAAAAGAGAGAAGATGTAAATGCTGCTAGGCCTTGGTTGTTGTATTTGCAGTAGTTGTTTTCATGCGCACGATTTTTGTTTCTGTAAACTGTGGGGAAGAATTTTTCAAGAAATCCATCCATTGATGTCACCCCTCCTGTCAGTAATAATTGCTGAAGTTAGTTTCCGAGCAGTTTCATTAATCTTCTTGTTGGAAATGAGTACTTTTCTGATTCATGATTGGAATTTACAACTCTCTCTCTCTCTCACACACACACACACACACACACACACACACACCCACAGTTCAATTCGGCCGAGTTATAAGTCAGAAGCTTCCAATCTCATACGTCTCACATGATTCGGCCAAGTCGTTCCACACATCTCTGAGTCATCCAAATCATAGGTAGGTAGACATGCGTGAATCTCTCGCCATGTTCAACTTCATAGAATGGAGTATTTCATGCCTATCCCCCAATCCTATTCTGACCGTGACACAAGATTGCAGATTTGACTAGGAAAAAAGTATCAGACAAAGGTATGCAGGTTATGCTAGGAACAATCTGCATAAGATGCGTGTTTATGCCCTAGTTTCGCTAACCAGACATTTAGTATATTCTTGTGATAATCGATTGATTCTGTCTTTTCACCACAATCAGAACAAAACAAAAGCAAAGAAAAGAAAAAGTTGGAAAATTTATATTTCTATTCTGTAGGCGGGTGAAGAGAGAACCTGATATTCCAATGTCATAACCAAACAGTGAGCCACCTACGGCTGCAACAACGCAGGCGACGATGACATAACAGGTGACTGTCCGTTGATACTGCCCTGCTCTCTCCTTAGCCACGCCGGCCGGAGCAAAAGATCCACCAGCCATCTCCGATGCCCTTTGGAAAAAATAGAGTCACAGAAGCGAGCTCTATATTGGAGAATGAGAACTAATCTTCTTAGACTTCGGTTATAAAATGGACATAGTTGACTTAGGCTACTAGCCTGTGAACACTCAAATTCTGTATCGAAAACAAAAAATGGAATTCTGTAATGATTGTCTGGGGAAATTCTTACCAAGATTTATTCTAATGGAACCAACATATTTTTTTTGACCCAAAAAAAAAAACAATATACTCTCTCTCTCTCTCTCTCTCTCTCTCCTGATGGAGTGTGGCTTAGTTTGCTCATCATCTTTAACTAAGTTTCAGCATGGATTTGTGGAAATGCACATGCCACAAGTTGGGGAGTGTAGACAATTTAATATTATCAGCTTGTTTTTTAATGCTTCTTTAAATGATAAATCGGAAGTTGACTTAAGCAACCTCCGACTAACCCCCCCCCC